CCTAGCAACAACAAATACTTAAAAAAGCCTATCAACCACATAAACACAGTCACAAAATCCTAGCAACCACACGGAGCACCCTGGAAACTACAAAGGGACACCATAACAACACCCTAGCAACCACACAGAAAAACCTAAGAACACTTCAGCAACAACATAAAGAACCATGGATACCACAAACTACACTACCATAGCAACCACACAGAACACCCTAGCAACAACATAAATTCTTTAAAACACTACATCAACCAAATAAACACTGTCACAACACTCTAGCAACCGCACAGAGTGCCCTGGTAGCAACAAAGAAACACCACAACAACATACTAGCAACCAAACAAAAAAATGAGAAAACTCTAGCAACAACACAACACCCTAAAATCACACACAAACACTGGAGCAACACCCTAGCAACCACTCAGAACACCCTAGCAGCAACAACTACTTTAAACACCCTACCATCCACATAAACACTGTTACAACACCCTAGCAACCACACAGAATACTGTGGTAGCAACAAAGAAACATAACAACAGAATCCTAGCAACCAAACAGAAAAACCTAAACAAACTCTGGCAACAGCACATCACATCCTAACAATCACACAGACACTGTAGTACACCCTAGCAACCACAAAGAGAACACTAGCTAGCTACCAGGGAGAAAACACCTTGGAAACAACCAAACTACAATTTAGCAACTAGAAATAACACCCACTACACCATAAAATCACCGTAGCAACAACAAAGCAACTGCACAAATAACCCTATCAACATCAAGATGAACATAAAAACACTCCAGCAATGCTGCATAACAAGCTAGCAACCATGAACATGCTGTAACAACATCCTAGCAACTACACAGGGCACCCAGCCAACAACAAAAACACAGTCAACATACAAAAACTGCACAGCACTGCGCCATAACAACCCTGCATCCACATAAACACAGTCACAAAATCCTAGCAACCACACGGAGCACCCTGGAAACTACAAAGGGACACCATAACAACACCCTAGCAACCACACAGAAAAACCTAAGAACACTTCAGCAACAACATAAAGAACCATGGATACCACAAACTACACTACCCTAGCAACCACACAAAACACCCTAGCAACAACAAATACTTAAAAAAGCCTATCAACCATATAAACCCTGTCACAACATCCTAGCAACCCCTCAGAACACCCTAGCAACAAGAAATACATAAAACAGCCTATCATCCACACAAACCCTGTCACAACATCCTAGCAACCACTCGGAACACCCTAGCAACAACAAATACCTAAAAACAGCCTATCATCCACACAAACCCTGTCACAACATCCTAGCAACCACACATAGTATCTTGGTAACGATAAAGCAACACCATCACAACCCTCTAGTAACAACACACAAACCTAACAATCACACACACACGGTAGCAACACAATAGCAACCAAAGAGTACCCTAGCTATCACACAGAAAAAAAACTGCCAACTCTATAACAACAAGACATAACACCCAATCAACCACACAAAAGCTGTAGCAACACCCTAGCAACCACACAGAACACCCTAGCAACAACATAAATACTTAAAAACACCACATCAACCAAATTAACACTGTCACAAAACCCTAGCAACCACAACTAGTACCCTGGTAGCAACAAAGAAACACCACAACAACATCCTAGCAACCAAACAAAAAACCTGAGAAAACTCTAGCAACAACACATCACTTCCTAGCAATCACATAGATACTGCAGTCCACCCTAACAACAACAAAGAGAACACTAGCTAGCTTCCAGAGAGAAATCTCCGAAAACACCTTTGAAACAACCAAACTACAATTTAGCAACAAGAAATAACACCCACAATCACCATAGCAACAATCAAGCAACTACACAAAACACCCTAGCAACCACATGATAAACCTAAGAATACTCCAGCAATGCCGCATAACAAGCTAGCAACCATGAACATGCTGTAACAACATCCTAGCAACTACACAGAGTGGGGTGGGGGGTGTATGTGATGAGGGGTGCATGTGGGGTGGTGTTTCACAGAGTGCATGCGACGTGTCTGAAGAGCGAGGAGGGTCCGGTGGCGAGGGGTGAGAAGGGTGCATGACTTATTTGAGGAATGAAAGGGAGATTATCACTCATTTGCGGGCATCCGGGAGTCTCTATGCATTTGCAGGAGAGTCCCGGAACTTCCAGGAGACTTGGGATGTCTGATTTCCTACATTATTGTCCTTCAATCACAGCTCAGGTGTTTGAACAGCTGAAGAACAACAGTAATGGCACAGGTCACTTCAGATTCCTGTTTCACTTTCTTTTGGATGAGTCCCTTAATTCATCAGGGGTCGCCACAACGGAATGAACACAGCATAGGTTTTACACAGCGGATGCTCTTCCAGCCGCAGCCCAGTACTGGGAAACACCCATACACACTCATTTACACACACACACACACACACACACACACACACTATGGCCAATTTAGTTGATCAATTCCCCTATAGCACATGTGTTTGGACTGTGGGCAGGGCCGGTGCGTCCATGGAGGCGACCTAGGCGGCTGTCTGGAGAGGTCAAGTAGTCAGGGCGCAGTCCGTGACACCCCCCTTATATTAATTTAAGAATTGTTAAAGTTTTTGTCGTGTTTCTAGTCTAAAATCTAAGAAAGAAAAGAAATTTTCCTGGAAGTTTCCAGGAAAACAAATCAACTGAATCAGGAAGCATTTGTGTTTGTACAGTGCGTATCATGAGCATGATCAATGCTGAGCGCGGGGTCAGAGGTGTGTGAAGAGGATTTGTCCTGGAGGTCAGACTCTGCTGGACAGTGTAATTCCTCCAGGATTGCGTTCTACTGTCTGATCAGACCACGTGAAGAGGGTTTACTGCAGGAATAGAGCAGTAGGTGGAGCTCTGATTATGGCTAATCCCTCTTTAAATAACCCTGAGCATTAATGTCCTGCAGGAGAACAGGACAGGACAGGACACACACACACACTCTCTTTCTCTCTGTGCACCGGGATGAACTTCGCCGCTCAGTTTTTCGCTAATTTTATGAATGAAAACCCGCAGGAGCCGCGCAGAGGATTCAGTGACTGCGAGGAGTATGATCCGTTCTGGCAGAGGTGGGAGATATTACTGTAATAAACCAAAACTTTTGGTTGAAAACTGTATTCTCTGGCTGTTTTAGTGTCTGTGCTATTGTTAAAACTAAAAAGTACCTTGAAATGTGTTCACAAAATAAAACCTACAATGCACAGCTGTAATAGTCTTGTGCATGCCTCCTGTAGAGAGCCGGTGTGTGCTGCTGTAAGTGATGATCCTCCAGCAGTGAATACCTGTAGAGAGCCTGTAGAGATTGATCCTCCTCCATCCACACCTCCACCCGTCTGTAGAGCCCGTAAATCTCCAATGCAACCTCCATCCATCCCGCAGATGCCTAAAAACACCCGTAAATCTCCAATACAGCCTCCAACAGTCCTGCAGATACTAGAAAACAGCTGTAAATCTCCAATACAGCCTGCATCCACACCGCAGATCCCTGAAAACACCCGTAAGTCTCCAATACAGCCTGCATCCATCCCTCAGATCCCTGAAAACGCTACCTTCATCACACTCCTGCAGACACTGGTGCTCATCCTCCTCAGACTCTTCCTCTCCTTCATCCTCCTCTTTATACCACGGTAAACACTGCAGGAGACATTCATTTACAAACTGTAAAATACAATATAATTAAGACGAAATGTTTTACAAGCTACAAAAGGTCTGAGTTCACCTCTGAGGAACAGAGAAATTAAAGGTTCTGGAAATAAGCCTTCGTTAAAAGCCTGGTGATTGTATGTTACACTCTTTAACTTTTCTTTAAAAATTAAAAATAAAACATTTCAAATATGTAACGCCTATAGTTATAACTCACTTTAGAATTAGTTTTGGTCTGCTAAATGACAATGTAAATGCATAGAATTTTGAAACTTGATTGTAGCATCTACTTCAGCAGTCAGACAACAGAAGCTGTGTAGCAGATTGTGTGCAACAGGTTTAAAAGTGAAGTCTGATCTTGATTAATTCCTGTTTCCATCCTGATGCAGTAGTGTTATGGGGTTAACCTGAGCTGTGTGCACATGTTTCTATCAGACAGAGGCTTTATTAGACGCAGTGAAGTGTGAATGAGGCGAGAGGTCAAACCTGCAGAAAACACTGCAGATATTAATAGACTTCAGTGCTGGACACAGCAGCTAGACACACTCAAAGCCTGCACTTTAAAAGCTCTACACAGAATATTTAAATGTGCCATAGAATCTTTAAACATGCTACAGAATCTTTAAAGGCAATAAAGAATCAATAATGGTGCTATAGAATCAATAAACGTGCTAAAGAACCAATAAACATGCTATAGAATCATTAAAGGGGCTGAAGAAACAATACCCATGCTGTAGAATCAATAAAGGTGCTATATAATCAATAAATGTGCTATAGAATCAATAAACATAGAATCAATAAACATGCTATAGAATCAATAAAGGTGCAATCGAATCAATAAAGGAGCAATCGAATCAATAAAGGAGCTATAGAATCAATAAAGGTGCAATCGAATCAATAAAGGAGCTATAGAATCAATAAACATGCTATAGAGTCAATAAAGGTGCAATCGAATCAATAAAGGAGCAATCGAATCAATAAAGGAGCTATAGAATCAATAAAGGTGCAATCGAATCAATAAAGGAGCTATAGAATCAATAAACATGCTATAGAGTCAATAAAGGTGCAATCGAATCAATAAAGGAGCAATCGAATCAATAAAGGAGCTATAGAATCAATAAAGGTGCAATCGAATCAATAAAGGAGCTATAGAATCAATAAAGGTGCAATCAAATCAATAAAGGAGCTATAGAATCAATAAAGGAAATATAGAATCAATAAAGGTGCAATTGAATCAATAAAGGAGCTATAGAATCAATAAACATGCTTTAGAATCAATAAAGGAGCTATAGAACCAAAAAGGCGCAATAAATTCAATAAACATACTAGAGAATTAATAAAGGAGCTATAGAATCAATAAAGGCACTATAGATTCAATAAACATGCTAGAGAATCAATAAAGTTGCTATAGCACCAATAAAGGCTCTGTAGAATCAATAAAGTTGCTATAGAATCAATAAAGGCACTATAGAATCAATAAATTAAGCTAAATTAGCATATAAAGACAAGACTGAGGATAATGTTTATCACATGGTGCAGCTATGGTAGAAGATTTAAATATTTTCTTAGGTTTGATAAAGGCAAAACTGAATGTGAGAAAATCTGTTTTAATATTCCTGCATTTGAGCCCATTAAACTTAATGAGTATGAAATAGCAGCCAGTCTTGCTAGTATAAAGCCAAATAAAGCACCTGGCCCAGATGGGCTTAAAGGTCACGTGTTGGGAGATTGTGCTTTTCAGCTATTTAGTGTATTCACCCGTTTGTTTTAGCTTTCGTTAGACTGTAAAATGGTTCCAAGTTTATGGAAAGAAACAAAAATTGTTCCAGGACCCAAAATATCCAATGCCAATCAGTTACAAGATTTTAGACCAATAGCTCTTACATCTATTCTGGGTAAATGTATGGAAAGAGTATTATATCAAGGCACATCTGGAACAAGGTGGTCAACGATTTGGACCCCCTTCAGTTTGCATACAGGGGAAAGAGGGGCACCGACGATGCTGTAATAACTTTGTGTGATTTTGCTGCTGAATATATTCAACAGACCACAAATTATGTAAGGATTTTATTTATAGATTTTAGCTCAGCTTTTAATTCAATTGGGATAGATATTCTCCTGCAAAGACTACTTGATCTAGGAGTGAATGGTGATCTTATTTGGTGGATTAAAGATTTCCTTTTAAATCATCCTCAAAGAGTAGTCGTTAATGAAATGGTGTCTAAAACAATGATTGTAAATACAGGAGTTCCGCAAGGAAGCATATTATCACCCTTACTATTTTCTCTTTACACAAATGAACTTAAGATCCAGGATTCAGGTTTTAAGTTATTTATATATGCAGATGACATGCACTTATTGGACGGTTGACTAAAATAGGAACAGAAGGCGATACCTCGTACTATAATTATATAAATTTGCTCCAGAATTGGTGTAAAAAGAGTTCACTGGAGATCAATTTTAATAAAACCAAGGAGATGATAATTAGCAGAAATAAACTAGTGCTTAGTCAAGGGTTTAAGCCTCTGGTCCTTGAGGGACATGAAATAGAGACAGTTGGCTGTTTTAAATATTTAGGAACACTTATTGATAGTGGATTAACATTAGCTGCAAATGCAGAGTGCATTTTTAAAAAATCAATGCAGAGATTATATCTCATTAGGAGGTTAAAACAATTTGTCAAGATGTCCTTGAGATGGTATACAAGAACTTGGTTGCCTTGAGATGGTATACAAGAACTTGGTTGAGAGTGTTGTGAGTTTGCATGATTGCATGGTATGGACTGTTGCCAATGTAGGAAAAGCAAAAACTGTGTCGAGTAGTAAAAATATGCAGTACAATTGTACGTAAAGCGCAAAAACAACCAAATGAAATTTATTCAATGAGAATTAGACAGAAAGCACATATCATTGTTAAAGATTGTTCCCATCCCTTAAATATCAAATTTCAGCTCTTGCCATCAAAAAGACGTTTTAGGCAACCTAAAGTAAAGAAAAATGTGTATCAAATGTCATTTGTGCTGAGTGCCATTACAATTTCAAATACTGGGTTTTAATTGTGTATAGGGTTTTAAATTGAGTTTTTTAATGTGATATATGTGATGACGTTGAATGTATTCGTGTTGAATGTTTTTTCTGTGATGTGTGTAATGTGAACGCTGATGTGGTTGTGTGGTGAAGCCAAAGATAAATTTCCACTTGTGGACAATAAAGAAAGTAAAGTATAAAGTAAAAAATAAAGTATAAAGGTGCTATAGAATCAATACAGGCACTATAGAATCAATAAGCATGCTATAGAATCAATAAAGGTGCTATTAAAACAATAAACATGCTATAGAATCAATAAAGGCTCTATAGAATCAATAACTGTGCTACAAAATCAATAAAAGCGCTATAGAATCAATAAAGAAGCTATAGAATCAATAAAGGCTCTATAGAATCAATAACCGTGTTACAAAATGAATAAAAGCGCTATAGAATCAATAAAGACTCTATAGAATCAATAAACATGCTATAGAATCAATAAACATACTATAGAATCAATAAAGGAGTTGTGGAATCAATAAACATGCTATAGAATCAATAAAGGCTCTATAGAATCAATAACTGTGGTACAAAATCAATAAAAGCGCTATGGAATCAATAAACATGCTATAGAATCAATAAACATGCTATAGAATCAATAAAGGTGCTATAGAATCAATAAACAGGGTATAGAATCAATAAAGGCTCTATAGAATCAATAAACATGCTATAGAATCAATAAAGGCTCTATAGAATCAATAAACATGCTATAGAATCAATAAACATACTATAGAATCAATAAAGGAGCTATATAATCAATAAAGGAGCTGTGGAATCAATAAACATGCTATAGAATCAATAAACATACTATAGAATCAATAAAGGAGCTATATAATCAATAAAGGAGCTGTGGAATCAATAAACATGCTATAGAATCAATAAACATGCTATAGAATCAATAAAGGAGCTATAGAATCAATAACCGTGCTACAAAATCAATAAAAGCTCTATAGAATCAATAAACATGCTATAGAATCAATAAACATGCTATTGAATCAATAAAGGCTCTATAGAATCAATAAAAGCACTATAGAATCAATAAACATGCTAAAGAATCAATAAACATGCTATAGAATCAATAAAGGCTCTATAGAATCAATAAAGGCTCTATAGAATCAATAAAGGCTCTATAGAATCAATAAAGGCTCTATAGAATCAATAAAGGAGCTATAGAATCAATAAACAATTAATAAGGTCAAAATGCCTTTCAAGATTTGCCTTTCCACGTGCAGTATGTGGACACTCAGTATGTGGAGGTTATCGTTGGTATAGAATCAATAAAGGTGAATCTAGATTTACAGGTTCGTTTTGCCTCTAAAATATCCATCTTAAAGACTCCACTACTGCTGTCTTTACCATGTCATCATATAAAGGTTCATCTAAATGTCATCCAGAGCAGTCCGCTTTTGTTTGTGTTGTCATGAAAGTTGTGATGCGTAACCCTAAAAGTTGTAATCGACTCACCCTGTCTGAGTGATGCTATAATACTGTGTGTGATGTTGATTGTGCAGTGCTGAGCAGCGCCGTGGATCCGCAAAGCCTGACTGCTCATTCCACAGCGGCCCCTGCACTCGAGACCCGCTGGTGCTGATGGGGAATGGGCGCACGGGCCGCCGCTCCACACTCATCTGCCCAGAGAGACTCAAAGACTTCGGAGCTGAAGAATACCTGAACGGAGACGTGAAGACCTTCCAGACCAGCGTCTCTGAGCCGGCGGAGCTGCAGCTGATGTCCACCCCCAAACCAGCCGCGAAGAAGAGCACCGACAGCAAGAAGAGTAGCACACCTCCGGCTCCAGAACACCTGCGCTTCCAGGACATCAGCGCCGCGGCCTTCAGACTACAGCAGTCCAGCCTACAGAAAACACCCTGCACGGTGACACATGCACACATGCACTGACACACACGCATACTCACACAAGCATGCATTCATGCGCACACACACACACACACACACACACACACACACACAACTAAACAACTGTCAATAGATTTTTTTTCTGTCAGTCTAAATTCAAGACCTCCTAAAAACATGAAGCATTTTTCTAAGACTACGAGCAACAGCTCTGAAACACACCTCTGTGGTGCTCATGAGTGTGTGTGTGTGTGTGTGTGTTCTGCTTTCAGTACTCCAGACTGTCCAAACAGTATGGCATGGAGATTTACCTGAAGAAGGAGCTGCTCCACTACACCGGCTCAGTAAAGGAGAGAGGAGTGCTGTACCTGCTGTCCTCCCTCAAACAGGTGAAGATCCTCAACAACACCCAAACACTGAATCCAGATCAACACCCAAACACTGAATCCAGATCAACACCCAAACACTGAATCCAGATCAACACCCAAACACTGAATCCAGATCAACACCCAAACACTGAATCCAGATCAACACCCAAACACTGAATCCAGATCAACACCCAAACACTGAATCCAGATCAACACCCAAACACTGAATCCAGATCAACACCCAAACACTGAATCCAGATCAACACCCAAACACTGAATCCAGATCAACACCCAAACACTGAATCCAGATCAACACCAAAACACACACTTAATCCAGATCAACACCCAAACACTGAATCCAGATCAACACCCAAACACTGAATCCAGATCAACACCCAAACACTTAATCCAGATCAACACCCAAACAATGAATCCAGATCAACACCCAAACACTGAATCCAGATCAACACCCAAACACTTAATCCAGATCAACACCCAAACACTGAATCCAGATCAACACCCAAACACTGCCTTTAAAACATCACCAAAATACTGCATTCATACAATTCACAACAACACCCGAATACTGTGTGTGTGTGTGTGTGTGTGTGTGTGTGTGTGTGTGTGTGTGTGTGTGTGTGTGTGTGTGTGTGTGTGCAGGATCAGCAGAGGAAGGGTGTGATTGTGGCCACAGACTGTAACTTCTCGATGTCGGTGGCGTATCATGCGGTGGAGATGCGTATCCCGGTGTTCGTCATCATGCCAGCGTGCAGCTCTCCTCCTCGTCTGCGCATGTACAGAGATTACGGAGCCATGGTTATTTCCTACGGCAGCACAGCCCGAGACTCAATCAACCACGCCCGACACCTGGCCAAGGAGAACGGATACCTGTGTCTGGAGGAGTGAGTTTCACACCCATCACCCTGCAGCCCGAGAGCGCTTACTCACTGAAGCTGAGCAGGGCCCAGTGTGTCTGGATGGGAGACCACATGGGAACACTAGGCTGCTGTTAGCAGTGGTGTTAGTGAGGCCAGCAGGGGGCGCTCAACCTGTGGTCTGTGTGAGTCCTAATGCCCCAGTTTAGTGAAGGGGACTCTGTACTGTCAGTGAGCGCCGTCTTTCAGATGAGATGTTAGACTGAGCTCCTGACTCTCTGTGCTCTTTAAAATTGTGGTCATCAAATCGGCCCCTACTGATCATTAAGCCTTTTACTATAGAATAATAATAAATAATAAAATATTTTAATGAGGCCAAACCCCCTGAAGTACGTCTAGGATCAGTTGGAGGAGTAGATGTGTCTGTCTGTCTGTCCACTCATGCATGATCACAGCACATGAGCAGACAGAGAGGCATCGCTTGGCAGGGTTTGGTGTGTCAGACAGGTTTATCCATCGCTCTCTCTCTCTCCATCTGCCTGTAGGGACGACAGCGCTGTGTATCTGGCAGGTCTGCGAACAGTGGGTATGGAGATCTACGAGCAGGTGCCCAAACTGGACGCTGTGGTGGTGCCAGCGGGTGGACATTGTGGCCTACTGGCAGGAACTGCAGCCGCCATCAAACACCTGAACCCTCGCATCTCTGTCATAGTGAGTCAAACACATCGGGTAAACCTCAGACAACAACACTGTTTCCAGTCCAAACATCGAAAAACTCTGAAATCAAGAAGCATTTTCAAGATATAGTCTTGTTTTGAGAAATAATGAGTCAAAATGAAGCGAGTTTTTCTTTAAAGGCCACCTATTATGCAGAAATGACTATTATGCAGGGTTTAAAGCCAGTAGTGTGTGTCAGCAGTGTGTGGATATCTCCAGCCTCTAGTGGTCAACAGTGCTGAATTGTGCTTATTCAAATCAGACTAGATGAAATCAGTCTGCAGAAACACTGTGATTGACATTCTCACTTTGTACGTGTCATCAAAGGGTGAAAGCCCCGCCCACTAGTGCCCATCTCTCCCTCATTACACTCTCAGAAATAAAGCTACGCGAGCTGTCACTGGGTGGTACCTTTTCAAAAGGTAAATATACGTACTTAAAGGGTCCTTATTAATACCTCAAAGGTACATATTAGTACCTGAAATGTGCAAAACTGTACATGCTGAAATTTATGGGGTGCTAATATACACCTTTAAGGTACAAATATGTACCTTTTGAAAAAGCACCACCCCAGTGTCAGCTCACATGCTTTTATTTCTAAGTGTAGCATAGGATGTTGGTGTTGTTTTTTAATCTGCCACTATGCTGACACAAGGGCATTTATAGCTCCGCCCTCTTCTGAAAAGTGCAGAATCTCATTTGCATTTAAAGCGACAGTCACCAAAGCGCCACAATTAGGATCAAAGCCTGAAAGGGTCAGTTTCAGAGAGCTGGAGAACATGACCTGTGTGCTGTTCTCAGCTCACACACACACACACTCGAGAGACAGCAGAGACGCATTTACAGCTTGTGAAAGTAGGCAGAACATGTCAGATTTAAAACAAGTAAAACAGTGTTATTTCAGAGCAAAAACAATTATTGTACTTATTATTCACATTATTATTATTATTTTACAGATTCTGTTGCTGACTTTAAGGAAAAACCCCAGTACATTTTGACTCATTATTTCTAAAATAAATGTAAAAAATGCTTATTGTTTTAAGAATTTTAAGATATTTGGACTAGCAACAAGACAAAACCTGTTTTATTTGCAGAGAAACTCCTCATAATCCCGTCATCCGCATCATATGAGCAGGAGTCGGTGTTAGAGAGTGCCTGATGATGAACCCCTGCTGTTTAATCTATAGTGTTTTCCCACAGGGTGTGGAGCCGGAGGAGTTCCCTCTTCTCCTGCAGTCGCTCAAAACAGATTCTCCCATTAAAGACCTCTACTGCAACCCCAACAAGAAGCTCTACAGAGGTGAAGTTAGGAACTTGTGTTTATATGAAGAGTTCAGACGCAAAACTTTTAGTTGTCCTTAGATATTTTCTTCTAAAATTAATGTTTGTGTTTGTGTTCACTATAAAGGGGGTCTATATGCACAAGCTTAAAATGTGTCTCTGCTGTGTCTAGAGAATGTGTGTGGGTGTGTGTGTTTATGCTAATGAGATGGGCACTAGTGGGCGGGGCTTTCCCCCTCTGATGACACATACAA